TTATTCATGCTGTTTCCTCCAGATGAGAATTTTGACTGTGTAATTGACATTGAGGCTACAGCAGTGGCATACTACCGTTTATTCTGTAAATCAGTGTGTGGAAATATCCTAATTTTCTGATGTTGAAAGCACTGAAGGGTAAAAAAAATGTTAAGATTGACCTCAGTGAGCTTTCAATGAAGACGTAAGCAAAGTTTGTGCAGGCTTCTTAACCGTCAGTATGAAAAAAAGAAATGCCCATCTCAAACAGCTTGTAGCTACCTTTTTCACATGATAATCATTCTATACTGGTGGTATATGACTAACACTGATTTTAAAAGCAAAATAAGTCTTAATAGATGATACACTGAGTCACAGAAAGATGCCTGAAATAGTCATTTACTGTTATTTGTTGTCTTGTACAGTTTATGGAAATAATTAGTATTCCATTTGACAAACAAGTGCAAACATCCATTAGCTAAATGACACAACGTATACTTTGACTAGGTCTGTAACTTTCACTAGAACTCTATCAATAGTAACTGTTGAACAGTGTCATATAGGAGCACAGATCTTTTAGTATATGTATAATTGCTCTGGTTAGGAGGCCACTGAGGTATTTAAAGAAAGAAAAATTATTGGACAGCCTAATGTGTCTTTGAAATCAGAAGAAAAGAGAAAAAAAAAAATCTTTGTATGTAATCTGTAAACTACAGACACATGGAGTTGGTCTTATGAATTTATTGATCTGCAAATGAGTTCTACCCCCAGATCCATAAACAATTATCATCAAAAATCAGAGTGGAATAGAGCAAGAATTTTGTTATGTGATTAGTGTTTGTTCTGTAATAACGTTGAAAATTGTCAATTGTATACAAAAATACAGAAGGAGTCTTTTCCTACTATATTCTGAGTGCGAAGAACAGCTTGAATAATGATATCTAAAAATTTTGAAATTAGCTAATTAGCTGTAAACATTAGATTATTTTTTTAACTTTTCATCTGAAAGTTTACACCTGAGTTATAAGACCTAAGTTCGAATGCATCTACATGTGTAACCACCACTTATAAGATTCTGTTGTGGAGATGTAACTGATGGGTTTGCTCATGATGCATGAAGCAGAATTTAATTCATTTTCTGTGGGTTTTCTGCTAGCTATGGTAGAAGTTATTTTGCAAATACTTATTATATGCAGACAAGAGCAAAGTTGATGAGGCAGAGCTCCTTTTATGCATTTATAATTTTTAAAAAATATTTTCTATAAATATGCTGTTTTCTTGCAGCTATTGTACATAATATAGATCCCCCAAACTGATCTTTAAAGTAAATTTCTGTTGAGAAAGATGACCAGTCAAATGGTAACAAATGCAATGCTGTTGTCTACATACTAGAAGAACAAGTAAAAATGTACTGGGCTTAGACTTGCCAAATTTTCTCCCTCCATGGTAAACCATTAGGAGACCAGGAGGTCTGGCCAGGTTCTTCCCCAGGGTCCTGGTTGTGCTGAGGCACTTTTAAGTGACTGGGACTGAATAGTTCCTCCACATTTGAGAGAGCATAATTTCAGTTCTGGCTAGACAGATAGATGGCAGAGGCGTGTTCCTGCTCACTGAACTTGCACCCATACAAAAATCAGACATAAGTATCTTCTGATATAAATATCCTCTCACTCTGTAAACACACAAGCTTTCAGAAAAGATCCTATAATGTACACTCTGCAGCAAAATTGTACTTTCAGAATTATCAGTGGAGACGTGTCAGCTCCAATATGCTTGTACATATCCAGATATTTTGTACTCTGTACAGAACTACAGGTTTCTGTTACTGCACAAGAAAGTAAAGAAAGCATCTCCCTCGCACCTCAGCAAAAACCTACTTTTAAATATGTTAAAAATATACCCAAAATTCTAAAAAATTGATTAAGGAGCATAAGCAATGCTGGAAAGTAGTTATGCTTCAGCATTTATTTGTTTTAAACTTTGTCACAGAAATGACTATCAAAAAACTTACAAAAGGTTTCAGTCTCACTTGAAGCAGTAAGAAAGCACTTTTGCTGCACCGTCTCAGTGCACCAGTCTAACTGAACTGGTAAAAAATGGAAGTAGAAAGAGGAGTCTTTCTGGGCTTCATACCATCTTGGACTTCTTATAAATGGTGTCATACCCATACGAAGCTATGTGCCACGTCTTTCTATGTGTCTGATAAAAAAGCACGGTTTTGACCAGAACCCTGTGTTGTAAAGTTATATTGACTTTGGAAGTGCTGAGAAGCCACTGTTCCTATTGAAGCAGATGGTAAAAGCAAGCCTGTCAACCAGGAACTGAGAAGGCCTGTGGTGTTGCAATTTAATGCATACAGTGCCTGAAAGTCGCTATGCCATTAAACTTACAGGTTGGCAGGGAGGCACGGTGAGGGCAGTTATCAGTGGCGCCAAAAGCACACCATGAGCATGTCCCCATGGTACTGAATATACTCTAGGGGGAAAGTGCTCTGAAACTGCAAGCACTGTATTTAAGCTACTAATCTAGGCTTATTAATTTTGCACTACTGAAGCTATGGTACTTCACAGACCAAGGCAGTATCTCTAAATGTAATCAAAACATGGTTATGAAAACAGACCAGTGCTAGCTCAAAATTTTTTTGTGTTGTGCTCCATTACACGTATGGATAAGTCTGGTGCTGGCTCCCATATGTGTTTGGGGAGAATACACTTGGTTACTGCTTGCTCTTGCAGAAAATGTGAAAGATCAGCCTGGTGAAATCCATCCTTAAGTGGACAGATTCCAGAAATGGACTTTGCTCCTCTTTCAGCATGAAGAAACTTATGTAAGCTCTAAATGATGTATCTTAAAATGAAATGCTGTCTCAAATTCACCATAGATGTAACATAATCAAACACATTAAGCTAATTGATTTTGACTGTTTATAGAGAATTTTTTGGATATTTTAAAAATATACTCTAATATAAAATCATATATAGATAGGTAAAAAAGTGTAAAAATGCCATTATGTGTGTTCATGTAAGCAACAGTAATAATTACCTAAACAGAACTCTAGTCTTAGGCAAGCTGCAGATGCTTGAACAACTATTCTTAGTCATTCCAAAAGTGCTTCATTTCCTTAGTTATTGCATTACTGGGTGTTTTCATCCTATTTAGCTTATTTTGCAGTCTAGCAGGGTCCATACTAGGTCAGTATATAATGATCTATAATGAGCTGGTAACTGCGGCTGTTGAGACCAGACATAATTACTGTAAGTGAGCTTGCCATTTTCTGCATGTTTTACTGTCAGTTATCAAAACACCTGGTGGTGAGCATGATGTTCTGTTTAGCTGCAGCTTCTATACCTTATTCAACCAGGGATCATCATGGTGAGTTCTTAGGAAACATTCTTGTTACTAGCTTACTTCAGAGAACTTGAGAACTGGATACATATTTTGTTCAGCAGTTCAGTAAAATACTGAAGTAGGTTAGTAAAAAAGGTGAAGGTATATTTAGTCAAAAGTGCTTTGTATTGTAAAAAATTCAAAAGCAAAATTAGACCCAATTAAAAATGTTCAACTGCTACAGTGATAGAATTTTTATGCATTCTGGTTCAAGTATTGTAATCCTTATTCATATAAAATTTCCTCTTAAAGGGCCATAATATTCAATAGCAAATTTAATCTCACAAAATTTTGTTACTGTTTAGAACTGGCAGCATTTGTCATTATGCAGTTGTGTGGCCATAAGACAAAGGGGAAAATTGGACCATTCGTTTAGCCACTGGCTAGAACAAACTCCTCTTCTTGAATAAAGGACAGAAAGGGACAAGACTGGGAAAGGCCATGTGTTATTTTACACTGTAATTACCAAAAGGGTTAGGCAGCACATAACAGTGGCTATCAGAAAAATAAGCTAGAGAAATAAAGTAAGAGAAAATCAAATCACTGTCTTTAAAATGACAGACCAAACTTTATCAGTGTGTTGACCCAAAGGCACCCTGTTTGGCAAAAAAAATACAGGTGATTTAGCCTTTCCACACAGAATCATCTTCTCTGTTCACTGCCCCCTTGTACAGCATCTTGTAACACACACATTCTTCTTATACAGAAAAAAAAAAATTATGATACTCACTTCTCAAGCACTACTGCTGAGAAAATTCTGTATGTTAAGTAAGCTACCAAGCTACATTATAACCACTATCCATTTATACAAACATAGGCATGACCATGCTGGGTGAGACCAAAGACTCCTGTAGTCTACTTCATCTGTCTCCAGCCCTGATCAACAGCAGATCCCTAAGGCATAGTATAAAAATGGGGCAATCAAGTGGTGTTTCCTTTGGATCTTTTCCTAGCCTCCAATAATCTGCAGCTCATGAATTTCATTAACCAAGTATGTTTAATGCCCTCAACAGATTTTTCTCCATGCTTCCCAAACTTCTGTATATTTAAGTTTTCAAGGTCTTGCAGCAAAAAGTTCTTCACAGTAGCACGTTTGGGTTGTTTGAACCTACCATCCACTACTTTCTGTAATCTAGATTAATAAAATCTACACTTTCTGTAATCTAGATTATTAACAGCTGTCCCCTGTACTCCTTATGGGAACCTGACTTGGTCATCAGAGTGATAAAGCTGAGATCTTGAATACCTTTCTTTATCTGTCCCACCAGACAGAGGAAGGTGACCTTAGTATGGGTACTTCTGTTGGTACTCTTCAAATTTGAGTCACTTTTCCAGAGATTGCACTCTTGGTACATATGTAAATTTTCTCCCACCCCTTTCTCCTGCTTTTTTGCATCATCTGTATTTCCTTCCTTAGAGTGAGAATTATTCCCTTTCCCATGCATGCACATTCTCTTTCCAAACGCAGTGTATCAGGACCCCAGTAGTAACAGGTGCTAGTTAACACTTTCATTGCAAGTATATTACTCTTTTTATTTTAATGCATGATTTCTAGAATGCCTGTTTTATCACCATGTAGTAAAGGAAGAAAAGCCAATATATATAATAAAAACAAAGGGGTTTTGGCCACTTACCAAGTGAAGATAAGACATAGTAAGGTAGATATTAAAATGAGGACTTGGTTAAACATTGCAGACTGTGTGCGTTGGATGGCTCTGTGAAGATCATTCTATATTAATGGAAAATAGGTGTTATTTTTGGTTTTGAATTAATAAGGCATGAGCTGATTCTACAGAGGAATTATATAGTGCCCTGATAAAATACAGTCATTCAAATGATAGATCCTATAGAAGGGTGCAAAAGAGCCAGCTGTGATTCTGTGATTATTTAAATAGTTCTTTGTTCATCCTGGCACAATTCTGATACTATTGCAAGCTGCCTTAAGATCTGTCTGCTCATGTCTAGCTTTCAAATTACAGGCTGCAAGGACCAATTAAGGCATAGCAGCTGAGTTCCCTGCAATTGCATATGAATGGAAGAGTAGCAGAACCAGCCATTCCAAGTTTCCCTTATTGGAACAGTAACAATTTATACTAATTGAGATTTCACTTGATGTCTTAATTTTTTCTAATTTTGATGCAGAAAGCAGTTTAGCAATACTTGACCATTTGTATAATCTAAATACAGATCTGGTTAGCTTCCTATTAAAGTTGGACAGTGGACTGTACTGCCAAAATCCCACTAAAGACAGTATACTAAAAAACCAGAAACTCTAAAATAGTTATTTCCTTTGTCATACTTACAATCATATTCTCTAAAGCATGCTTTGCCAGCCAACAATTTAAAAATACAGGAATAAACAGGTTTCTTAGGAATGGCCAGAAAATCTGAAAGAAAAATTAACAAATTCATTAAAAGCTTTTCTATTCAAGAATAGAGCTTTTTTATTCAAGCAGCAATGAAACACTTGAGAAAAATACTTATTATTAATGTGTTTCTAGTGTAAGATATGGCTTTAAATAACATTTTTTCTTCCTTTGTGATAAACTGTATGTAAGATAATTTAATAAAATAAGGACAGTCAGTTTTCAGTGCAGACACCAGAGATTCTTAGATTTTTATATCTAGCTGGTTTATTTTATTGATTGTGCTGTAGTTTGAGTCAGAGGGTTTTGGTTTTGTTTGTCCCCTATCAGGGAGGAAGGGGAAAGTGATCTGTATTATTACTTCATTCAAGTAGCAAACTATCTTCTTGTTGTTGACAAATTTCTGTTCCCACAGGCACAAATTTGTCATCCACATAAGATTCAAATTTACTCCAATAAAAATTAAGACTATTTGCGCAGCTATAAAATTGCGATGTGCAAATGTATTAATTCAAATATGTTTACCGTGATGATGAAAGGGACAGCATTAATTATTTCCAGGAGAAAAGGTATTCTCAGAATTTGTTCCCAGATATTTCCCTTCAAAGAAAAGGAAAAAAAAAAACCACCATGTCACAGTAGGCTTACATATAGTTCTGATGAGAAGTATATGTGATATTCCAATGCCACATATGGAGTCTCTTCCACTAGCTGAATTTCAGGAAGATCATTCACCTCAGATTTAAACATATATGTCAAATGTGAATATAGAATATAGGCTACTCTGGCCTATTTTTCTTACTGTTTATCATAATGTACCTCACAGGTAGAAATATATACTTTTAAATCTGTATTTTTACTAGAGCAGTTCTCTGTTTCCATATATTTCCTTGCTATGACCTAGTTAGTAAGACAGCTCAAATGGAGAATTCTAATTGCATTAACTAGTCAACTCATTCTCTCAGCTAATGAAGAGCTTCATTAAATTAAGTTTTCATTTTTTTCAGAGAATAATATGCTCCTGTTTTCTTCTATTGCATTTTTAGGTAACTTGGAATCACACACAGACATCTTGTCTCTGTTTTTTTGTTCTTCAAAGGTTAGTTTACTTTTATTTTTATGTGCACGCTTACACACAGATAAGGAGGTGAGGGTCCTGTCCTAAGGAATTACCTTTTTAGTAATTCTCATTTTTCAATGACTCTTCATACAAGTAACAGACAACCCTGCTGGCAAATTCTTTTATCTGCAACTCTTTCTACTTCTTTTCTTAGAAACCTCTAAATCTTTAAAATCCTGCATTACAGTGCTTTAGCTTTTGACTGTGCCCAAGTTTTTCTTACCTTAATGCTTATTGACTTAGTGTCTGAAATCTAGAGACAAAGCCCTAGTACAGTGTAAGAGTTGCAGAGACATATATCCAAAGGATATGCCCTGCTCAGAAGATTTTACCATCAAATCAACTGTTTTGATTACCCCTATACACAGGTGACTGCCCTATAGTCCATACTAACATTTGTTACGAATGATGAGCCGCTCTCTGTACATCCGTCTGATAGAACTTCATGGCAAAATATAAAGCAAAAGAGGAATGCAAATATGTTGTATTTTCCAAAGAAAAAATACCAGCTTGTTTTCTCTTAATCTTGTTTCATTAGCCTCTGCATGTTAGTCACAGAGGTCTGGATATTTCTCTTTATTAATTCTAATCCTGCTATTAAGATATTAACTTATTAAGAAATAAATATTAAAAAGAGGAATGAAATTAAGTTAGGGAAAGATAGCAGTATTCTATAGTGAGTCCTTCCTTCCTTTGCATTTATCTTTTTATCTTTACTTTGTATTTCCTCTTTCCCAACTGTTTTGGAGAGAGAAGTAAGGAAGACAATCCAGTGTTTAATATTTGAATTAGGACTACAAGATCAAAGTTCTGTATTTCTGCCACAAACACTTCAGTACATTTCAGGGCTTTTTGGAACTTGATCTTGCTTACATGAAATCAGAGGTCTTCCCACATATTTCAATGAAAGTGGTACTGATCTTTTAATCTGCTTACTGTTAGCTACAGGATGGCGATAATACTACTTCTTTTCCACGTCTGAGTGGTGACTGTGAACGATTAAATGTTGGGATGAAAATCCATACGTTTAAAAAAGAAGGTATTTAAAATTCAGTGACTTACAGCTTTACTAACTCTATATCACGACTCTGTCATAGGTAATGCAATAACAATGTAGCATATATCATGGCAATATTACAAGAATTTGCAGTACAGCACTATATTTTCAGTTGCAATGACATATTAATCTTTCCTGTCAAAATAACCAGCTGATATAACTACTGAAAATTAAATACAAGCTCCATAGCATATAAAATTCTTTTTCTATTTTTAACTTTTCACATCTGGAAGCCATTGTACCTATGGGGCAGGGATTATTGTCTTCCATGTAATTGTAATTGGTGTGAGTTAAACATACTTGAATAATCTTAAATATTTCATGTGGTAAGCAGCCCGGTAAACAGAAGTGAAATTATTAGATTGTAAACTGAGGTTTTATTTGTAGGAATAATAAAATCAAAAGAAAATTTGATTTTCCCAACTTGACCCATTCTGTGTTTTCACTAATTTCCTCATTTTTATTAAGAGCTTTCTTTTCTGCATTATAGAAAAGAAATGTCATATAATTTACTTGTGCAGACAAAATGCCTGTGCAGATGTGCTTGAGGTACTTAGTGATGCGTGTAAGATTCTGGCTTCCACATACAAATGCGTCATGTCTTCTGCAAATCTGCCTTTTGCAGTGAGAATGTATGGTAATGATAAAAGCAGCTCAGACTGCCGGTGCGCCAGTGATATAGTAGGATTGCCAGATGTCTCTGATGAGTTTTGGCAATGAAAATTTCTAATGTAGACATCTTTCAGAATTTTGGCCAAGGGCAAACCCTCATGTAATCGGTTAAGCTGTGAGAATGCAGATTGTAAACTATTCATTCTTGGATCCAAGTGATCAGCAGTGTAATACAGTGCTACGTTCTTTGCATTCCTCCCCATATAAAAGCAATAAAAAACGCAAATCCACTGTATCCCAGTAGCATGGTATACTATTATGTCCTCACTATTCTGCATGTTGAATCATTTGTCATATGTTATCAACCAAGTGTCAGAAAGGTAAATTCCTTGCAGTATTCTCTCAAATGACTGCTTTATTTATTTTACAGGTTATTTGTGCAATCCTAGCAATGTGCACACAAATGCAAAACCAATCATCTTTTTCTTGTTGTTTTCTTCCCGGCTCATCCTCTGACTTGTGCCTAAATTGTAAAAGCTTTGGAAATGTTGGCATGAAATAAGTAATCTGTCACAGATTTACATGATTTACACTCCTTCGGCCATCCTGGCTGTGCAGAAAGGCCTCACAGTGGGCGAAATAACAGCCCTCTTGGCTTCCTGAGACTGATGTAAAACTAGGGTAAATGGCTGTATCATGACTTCTCCAGATTGTAACTAAGAGGACAGGACCAGAGGGAAGGAGGTGTTTGCATCAGGTGGATTGCCAAAGTGCATTTCAGTACTATTATTCTTCCTTGCGTTACTCTTATTCCCTTATGGGAAGTGGAAATATAGCCATCATAAAATTGCCTCAACTTCTGTGACAGGTATATGCAGCAAATCAGGATAGTAGAGCTTTACACCCATTGCACACTAATAAGTAACTTCTCATGGGAACCGACTTGCCAGTATTTCTTTCATCGTCTGTACTCACTGAAATTGATGCAGACCACAAGCAGAATGGATAGGGATAAAATGCTGCCCGATAAACTCAGGAACAGTATAACTTGTGATTGCTCTTTGCTGTCTTGGCACTAGATGTGTTAATTTTGGATTGCTTCTGCCTATAATTGATTCGCATTTGTAACCCCCAACACCTAAATAGTATATGCTACTTACAAGGATTAAGAACAACAATTTTTAGACAATAGACAGTTTTAAGCCTCAGCATTATTGGCTGCTAAGGAAAACATTTATACCATAATGACTTGATAAGCACACTAAAGTACGACTCTCTAACTTCAGTGGCGGCTCTGATAGCTACTGAATGTCAGTAAATTCAAAAATTAAAAAAAAAAAGATTATGCTCCAAGATATTTTCAGCTTTAGAAACCAAGTCTTTTCAAATTTACTTTGATAAATGATATTAGTATTTTTTCTCCTGAAGATACTAAAAATGCAGAGTACCTAAAACTTACTAGGATAGCACATAACAAAATGTAATGAAGAAAATTGAATAAAAATATTAGGAAAATAAAACTTTTTAAGGAGAATGCAAATACAAAAATATATTGTATTCACATCAGATGATTTCAAGCATTTTGCAAAGATGTTCCAATAGCATCAGAGAGATGGATAACACAAGTATGTAGGTATCCATAATTAAAAAGAAAAAAAAAAATGTCTTGGCCTAATTTTCTGGCGTGCAGTTTTAGAGGCCTGAAACTTGAGTTATAGATACTGAGCAGCTACAGCTTTGACATCAATGAGAATTGTGTCCGTTGCATTATGGATAGAAATATAAAATGGTGCAGTTGAAAAATCAGTATCCAAAAATCAATGTCACTTTTGAGACTGTGTTTTCAAATTACAATGTGACAGTGGATAATGGAAAAAAATGGAAATTTCATTTCTGACTTCCACGCTCTAGATATTACTGTTTGCTCATAAATTTAGGAAATATAAACAGGGCTGCCTGTGACAATATGCTGTCCTCTACATGTGTGTTTTTCTCAAGTTCCTGCTTGTACATCAGCATGGGCACAAATGCAGGCACATGAATTTTATATTGAAACATTTAACTCAGTTACTTTTTGTGATGAATTATGCCTAAAAGTAACTAACGTTACTTACCTTGTAGCTTAGATAACTCAGCAGCAGAGTTTCAAAGAGACTTATTAAAGCCACAGAAACCTTAAGTGAAGTGATAAAATATGTGTATTAATATTGGCTTCTAAAGAATATATGACGTTAAGCATTACAATGAAAAGTAAAAGATAATAAAAACCAGCTTTTCCATGCATCCTCTGAAACCATCTCAGCTAACAGCATTTAGCATGAAGCTGAAATATCGTTATTTTTCTGACTAAAGCACAGGCTGTGACTTGAGTCTCATTGCTCTTTTCCAAGTATAACACTCCAGAGAGCCTGCAGGGTGGCCTTTCCATGGTTTTTAGAGAGCTCCATACACAGTCTGCCAGATTGTTTCTCAAGTTTCAGTTGTCTGTTCCTAAAAGGTACTGAGATCTTTTCACGAGACAGAGAAGGAGAGAGGAGGAGGAAGCTGTAAATAATGGAAGCTAGTCAGCTCTTTATTTTTCTGTAAAGATGTTATGAATGTGTGGAAAAACAAATACTTTTTTTTTTTCACTGTATATAATTCAGAAAGTTGAAAACAGCAAAAAATGATACAGATTAATCATTATTGATTTTAACATTTAAATGCAACTGAGCTCAACTTGTCAGCCTTCACTTAGATTATATGTAGTTAGTGTATGTACTATGTAATTTAAAAATATTTAAATAGTCAAATATCAAAATAGTAAAAAATTTACTTAAAACTTTATACATATTAAATAACCACAAAACTTATTTAAATCCTTTGCATAGCAAATATTTGTATTTTAATGTATATTGTAGGAATATTCTATCAAGAAGATGTACAAATTCAGCTGGAGCCTGAAGTCAAACAATTCTCAGGATTTCTAATTTTAAACTCATGCTCACTACTACTGAAAACTCAGAAGAGTGCACTATTTGCACTCGCAATATCATTATCTAGAATTAAAAAAGATGCTATGAATTGGAAAATTATTAAAATATGCTATCAAAATATAATATCAGTTTCTTCAAATAAGTATTACTGTTTTATATAAACTCAGGTTGTATCTCAAATAAAAATAAATCTTTGTAACTATTGTATATATCCTACTGTGAATGCATGTGTATATACACATGCATACACATATGTATAAATTCCTATGTTTATCAAATAAACTTATTAGAATAAGATTGTGACCATAAGCAAATAAAACTTAGTATTTTTTAATTAAATTGAATACAGTAATCTGAATGTCTAGGTCAAAATTTATTCAAACTGTGCATACTTTAAGCAAGGAATTGAAAGGTATTTTCATCAAGGGATTCTTCCCTTAGTAAAATCGTATATTACGTAGAGGTACAAACCATTGTAATGGCATTGCACTAAGCATGGTGCAAGAATATAATGGTATAACCATTCTGGAAGCTTAAGGAATTCTTAGTAGAAAAACACATTTCACAGGGAGAATTCCCACAGCACTGTCCACAAGTAAAAAAAGTGTTCCTACAACAAGCAGGCTCCAGGACACTGAGGATTGAACCACAAACTTCAAAAGATGTCCAAGACCCACAAAGCACTGATGTAGTGCATCTTTTGTGACATACTCCTCTAAACACATAGGCTTCTATATTATGAAGTAACTTTAGCTTTCTAGTGTATTTAACAAGAAAGCCCATGAAGCATGTCAAAAGCTAGTCGTAAGCAATTATAAACTTTAAACTCATCGTTAGAGCAAACAGTGACTACTTGACTCAGCAGAGCTTGATAATTCTGAGAGAAAAGGCTATCTAATTCTACAATATTTTGTTATAAGCTTTAATACTTTATAAATATATTGTAAAGCTGTATCAATTCAAATCAGTTAGCTCAGATCAGCTTATCCCTATGCTTTTGTTGTACTTGGTCATCAAGTAGATCTCTTTGTTAATATCAACTTTTCTAAGTATCCTTTAACATCACTAAAATGCTATAAATCAATATTGTCTACAGTTATTAAATGGAAATAATTAAATTGGCCATTTACATATTACCTGTAATCCCCATAAAGGCAAGCTTCGATTCACCCAAATAATAGGAGACCTGTTCATTATAATAAGAAAATAAATATGAAATTAATCAAAATCTGGTTAGTATTTTGAACAAAATCAAGAGAAAAAAAATTTGTACATGTGAATGGAAATTAGAGCAGCCTTATTTTTTTAAAAAATTCTCAGTAATAAAGATTTTAAATCAGTATTTATCTACTGAGTTTTGACGTTGCTTGTATTTCTAATCCAGAGCCAATCATTGAGTTCCCATGGGAGTAGTCTAACACCCAGTGACACCAAAATCTTTTATTGGCTTCAGTGGCTGCTAGTTCATCCCCTATGATTCCAGAAAGAATAAAACAATTTGAACTTGTGTTTCTAGAGATGCAGAGGAATAATTATTTGTGTAGGAAAAAGAAACTTGACAATTCTTTTGTGTGAACTTTTTGCTGTTTGTGTAATGATATAAATGGTATCGAACTCATAGGGGCTGTCATACCTTGAAAACACCTCATGTCATCTTACTATTTACTAAACCCAATGATAATAGGCACTTGATACAGTACTACTAGAAACTGGCACATTCAATGGCACAATAGTTTACTGTTAGTCATTTACAGCTAGTCATAATTGTTTTTTAAATAAGGGCATCCTTTTTTTTTCAGCAAGGTATAAGCATTGATGGAATTCAGATCTTACAAGAGCATCCACTCCAGCAGTTCACTTATGCAATCAGAGAAAAAATTAAAAAATTAAAGGCAGTTTTGAATATTTGGGAACACAGAAGTAATTGCTTGAGAGTTATGGAAACATCACTATTATACGTTAAAATGTCACCATTCCTGATGGAAATGGATTTGTCTTCCTGTTTCCCTCCCCTTCCCACCATTATGTGGACTTTTGGTTTGCTTTTTTAAACTAGGAACTCACCAATCAATCGTTCCAGGTGTGTAGTTTTGATTGGAACAACTCTGGTTTAATTCCTTACTGATAGTTGTCATCCCATCCATGCAAAGTCCATTTTCGTTAGCAAATGTATATGGGAACACAATCATAAAAACATATGGGAGGAAAGGGATATTAATTACATTATTAAGTGTTCTATAAAATGCATGCAATAGTTTGAAACCCTAGGCAATGGATATAGACATTTTAAAAAGTAAAATAACTTTTAGAAAGTAGTTCTGTATGTGTTCTGTATCTATAGATAAAGGACTATGAAGCATTTCAGGTTACATTTTTTAAAGATTTATTTTCAAACATGTTCCAATTTCAAAACAAAACAACTGAAATTATACTTTCAAAAGCTGAACTAAGTACACAATAAATATTGCAGATCAAGAGATACTAGAAATCCTATCCCATGGATAGGCTAGGATAGAAAGAGCATATATACATATACTTATACATGCCATACTCTCAACAAGAAAGACTGCATCAAACTACACTTTATATCCTCTTGTGAGGATGTGAGGAGGGCTAGAGGTTCATGCAGCAGCAATTCAAGTAAGAAACTGGTGACATCTATGTAAAAAAAATAGCTGTTATGTACACGTGATGTTATCTTGCCTTGAATGATTGGCACAAATGCTCCCTTCAAATGGTCATGTAAAGATGTGGGAATATATATTTGTGTAAATGATGAAAAATAACCTTGTTTATCCTTGGCAAGCAAGGTTAGTGGAAAAGAAAATGATTTGCAGACCACAGATTAGTAATAGCTGTATTTTTATCAACTATCAGTGGGACAGGTGCTAAATGGTATCCATTAATAAGGATGCTTTATGTCTTAAGCTCTTCCCTGTACACCTCTTGTTCCTGAAGGAGTAAATGAAAGATACTAACTTGTGCTAAATTTCTGAAATTTCTGAAAAACAGGAAATAAATCTGCAGGGGGAGTCTGTGATGAAAAGCATTCCTCCCAGAACTGTCACTTTAAAAACAACCAGGTGATAATGTTTTCTGTGGCCATGCTCTCAGCAGACTGAGTAGTTTCTTTTATCAGGCTGTGACACAGTATCTAGAAAGGATTTTTTTTCCTAACACCGTATTTGTAAGAATGCATTATGGCAGGGGGTTAGGTATCAAGCCCTCAGGATCTCTATGGGCAAAACCATTGACATTAATGGGGTACCATTTGGGCACAGGGCTGGTTTGTCTGGCATAGCTTCTAAGACTGGGGTCTCAGTGAGCATGCAGAAGTGACTTATCTGAAACTTCTCAGCCTGACAAATGTTATACAGAGATAGAACAAACTAACTAGTCTCTTAAATGTATCACAACACAATATGAGGGAATAATATATATAGAAGAGAAAAATACACTCTTTGGCTGGTGAATTGTTAAACATTTAGTTTGAAGGAACAAACATGTCAGGAAAGGCCTGGGGAATTAAGCAGTCTGCGAGATGCAGAAAAACCTTTGCGTATGAATAAAAAAGTATTGAAGTATACCTGTGGCAGAAGTACTGATGTTACAATCTGTTCTGCATACCCAGACGTAACCTTGCAGTATAATACGCTCATTTGGGTTCACTGGAGTTCTCATAACAAAACAATATCAGCGGCTTCTTCGTGCCAGAAAGTATCATCAGCTGTAAAATTTCAAGTCCCTGAGTTGCTGTGCTACTATGCCTAAATTTCTAAGAATGGATTTTCTCTTCTCCATCACTGTTAAAGGTTTTGTGAAATCTTTACAGCTTGTTTCCTCCCTACGCATTTCCTTTCCTTGAAGAGACATTCTAAGATACACGTAGAGTCAAAAAATATTTTTTTGCAGTTCTTGCTTTTCCAGGAAGATTTTTTCTGGCCCTTTTTCAGATGTTCTAATGTCTTACAATACATTTTGACAAAAAAAAATTCTCAAATGCATCTTCTGTACTTCCCATTCACACATCCTTTTCTCATGCACTGCTGAGTAAAGCCGATATTCTTTAACTCACTTTGCTTTGGATTTGATTCTTGTAAAATATAGTATTTCTCCTGTGCACTAGTTTTTTTTGTAGTATTGCCCTTATTAGATTTAACTTATTTCCAAACATTAAAATTAGAAGTCATACTTTGTCCTTTGCCTAACATTGTGTGAAGAGTGCTAGTTCTGTCATCCCAAGCTTAGTATTTTCATCCGTGCTTTGTTTCTTTCAGTATTTAAGGCCAACAGAATCAAATCAATTGAAAGCAAGTAAGTTAATAAAATGTGGTGCTTATTAGCATTTAGAATTGAGAAAATTCAATATATCCAGGATACAAATACAACTGAAGTACAGGCTTGAATAAATTATAAATATAATTTCTTCTACAATTGGTGGTTGATTGTATAACACATGAAAAAAAGAAGCGGAGTACCCAATGATCCATCTAGAATACCATACGGACAATTATAGGTGTGCAAAATCACGCATTATGACCATAGATCATCATGAGTATAGAATGTACTTTTGGTCTCCCTCTCTTCTAGGTGTTTAGAGAAAGCAGAGGGCTAGAAAATTATCATCAATGTCATCTGCACAAAAGCTCGGTTTCATGTATTTGTCTGTTTGTTTCTGGGATCTGGGGTTTTAAGTAAAATTATTTAAGTAAAATACTAAAATTATTGTTGCATACACTAGCAACCAGATATTTGCCATTTTATTTTTATAAATATAAACATAAATATGAGACATAGAAATGTTATGTAATAATACAACCAAAAGATATGTTTGCACAACTATATCTGATGCACAGTATCTGAGCAAATAGCCAGGATTATTTTAGCAGTGAAGTGAAAGAAGAATATTGTTATTTTTATTCTTATTTCCATTCACAATGTGAGACTAGCTTTGTAATTCTTTCAAAACATCTGTAAGACGTAAAACCAAATCCCTGTTGACAGAATATCAAACATTTATTCATTAAATGCATTTATTTCTTATAAGTTAAACAATGCTTTGAGAACAGAAATAACAAAAAAACCCCACATTACCATCCAAGTCCTTGTGTAGGATCATCCAGGAGCACACGAATTATGTAGAAGAAACAGCTTAGTAGCTTGAGAGAAAAATTGAATAATCGTATTCTCAGACCTATTTTAAAAAGAAAAAAAACCACAGAAATAAATTCAGGTTCTTTACAGTTTCATCCACTTTTAAGGTAAAACTAAAAGGAACTAGAATAGCCATGCTGCAACAGAGCAAAGGTCGATCTAGCCAGTAACCTGTCCCTGATATGGGCGATTGGCATATCATACAGAAGAACGTAAGAATAACCCTGTCAGATACACATATAATACACCTTTCCAGCTTCCATAAATCTCTGGGTTAAGACTCAGAGATTTCTGTTGTCTGTTTGAATGTAAAGACATACTCAGTCATTTGTCTGAAAGCTATTCTATGCCATTTGTCTTTCCTGATGCTATTCTTTGGGTCTTTTGTAGTTTTAAAAGTCCACTTTCTTGAAAGGAGAACCAGAACTACATATGGTATTTGAGATGCAAGACACAGCGTCATGAAGAAGACATATTTTTTTAACCATTGGCAGAGGATATACAATGGCAAGTATTTAAATATTAATATCTGAAAGTCTTCATGTAGTAGCTTCTCATACAGAATATATTAATACTATCCCAACTTATAAAATACTAAATTGTAGTTCTTTAACGTTGAAGTTGCATAATTATGCATCCAAGAATCAGGACATCTGAAAGTCATGCTGAATGCACAACTGAACTAAATCAACAATTTGTTCTACAGACCATGTGAATATTGAAATGTTCTAACTAAAAAGATATATCACAAATACTATCACAAAATATTACTGTATTTCCCACAAACATAGGTCTACTGCACAAAGACAGGATCCCTTCAAAGGGATCCATATGGACACTTGCTTCTTCACATGGGCAATTTATTTCAGTGCTAATTGGAGCCATTATCTACTACAGTGGAACTTAACTGTATTTTAATCAGATTTTGCAGTCATTAGAGGATTAGAGTTTAAATTCTCAGTCTTGTTTTTAAATTCAATAGTCTTAAAATTTTGCTAGTGTAAATATTTGTATCTAACTCTTGGTTTTAAGTTTTCATTCACTAATTAAGCTAAAACTGTCGGTTGACTAAGGTTAAGTGGGGAGAGGTCACTTTAAGGATTAATTTTTTTCAGTCTTGTGAACCGAGAGTCCAATTCTGCATGGCTGAACCCTTCTGTCCAAAGCAGAGTACCACTGACAGTCTTACACAGACGTGACTTCATCTGCACCTAGTCATAGTAAAGACAGTATCTTTTACTGTTGTGTTGTGTTGCGTTGCAAATATGTTAGCAGGTCTGCTGAACTCAGTATAATTACTTCTGTGGTTTAAGAACTACAGCTTCGTTATGCATACCTAAAGCTGTGTGCATACATTCCCTTTTAAGGAAAGAATCGTGATTATCTTATGGTAATATTACATACTTTTTGACTTTACTCAGTTCTAAGTTCAAAATGAACACCTTACAGATAAAACTGATAAATCACTTTTTATACCTCCTCATTCCCCTCCCATTAAAATGCAATCTACAGCAAACACAGAAAAACAGAAAATAAATTCTTAAATATTCTACCATGCAATTGCTGAAAGAAATCTTAAGTTTTATTACACAACACTGCTTACTACTTTTAACTGTGAAGTTGCAGTTATCACATGAGAACTGGATGGACTTTTACAGCGTCTTGTAATCTGTAAACTAGGGGTTAAAATCCTGTGGTCCCAACCATGAGAAGTCCCACAGCTGTTATTGGCAATTAGGTTTGTGAACATTAACCTAGTGATTCCTGCTGTCCTATCAAGAGTAATTAGCCACAGACTATTTATTCCCCAACATGACTGAAGGGGTTGAAGTAGTAAATAGATTGAGAGGCTGTAGAAGGTAGGTAGGTAGGTAGGTGAGTAAGTAAGTTGTCATGCTATTATTTGTCTAGGAAGAATGCCAGTACTTTTCTTGGACAATGCTATGATCTTTTTTTGCAACTTTTTTGAACTGTTGCTGAAGAAAACATGAATTGTTTGTCTGTACTAACCCTTTTGTGGAAGCCTGCTGGAGTATGAATGGTTGCCATAACAACTAGGCTATTACAAAAAGAACAGATAATGTTAAAAAAAACCCCAAAACCAAAAAAAAACCCCAAACCACCTAACTCCAAACAAACAAAAGCAGCCCACCAGGGTTTCTTTTCCTTACCAGTTTTGTGTTGTCTAACTTTCTTAGATAAGTACAAAAGTCTATTGTTTGTTTCTTCTGTTTTTTAGCTCTGTAAATGTTAATCTTGGTGCGAAACACTTCTTTTCTGCGAAACACTTCTTTTCTGCATTGATAATGGCCTGGTTTCTAATCATCATTTGAAATGATACGTTGGTGTAAATGCCAAAAAAAAAAAAAAAAGGTGCTTTTCTGATTAAAAACTACATCAATACAAGGGACCCATGCTCCTGCTGCTGCCTTAAACTCTTAACTCCCAAATCTCAGTCCTGAAAGATTTAGAACTACTTAAGTATTCAAATATTTAAGTTCCATAGATCTATTCCAGGCTATGCCTAAAAGTGCTTCAGGCTCTGGATATCTCTACAGGAATGGCTGTTTCCCACAGAATATAAGGCAGGGTTTTCACACCAGACATGCTTTCACCTAAGGGTTCTAGTTAGCATAGATACAGAGCGCATATCATGGACTGGGTTATACATAAAGTAAGGCAAGAGGATAGGTCTTGTACCATATGTGATTGGGTCAGTTATTACAATATAAATATGGAAAAATAGACTTCAAGTCTATCCTGTTTCAGGTCACCTCTCCTAGTTCTGTATGCCTCAGCCTTTACAAATAGGATGTGCTGTCAGAGGGGGCATATTTAGTCACCCCTGCTAAAGCTTTAATAATTAATGTAGGAATACCAAATAAGTATTCTCTCTGGTCAAAATCTTCTGTAGCCTCATAGTTGGGGATGTTACCTGTGAGCTGGAAGAAATGCATTTATTTCACTATCATGGAGATCTAGGATTTCAAATACGGGAAGGAGGGGACAGTCACTAGAGAAGGCATTTAAAATAGGTTTTCATTGATTACTCTGTTACAAAGAAAGCATTTCTTATTTCTGTTTGCTGACTATTTTTGTCCTCTATTTTACAAGCTGTCAGTGGATCAACATGGTCTGCTTGACTTAATTTCTTTTTTTCCGTTCACAGCCAGATTGTTCAAGTAGCAGGGTCATTTGCACAGAATATCTTTTGACACCGGTGTCTGAAGCTTGTATTCAGCTACATCAATCATACACTGTTATCCAGTTATGTATTGTTCAATGAGACTGTAATTTCACTGTGTCCATGTAACCATGGTGTTACATCCTTTGTCTTCTTTAAAAGGAGTTACTAACAGTTCAAAATCTGTTTGCTTTGTGAAATAAATATAACTATGTCAAATGTTAATGTTTCCTTCCCAGTTTGAACAAGTATTTGCTATTTTTTGCAGGCATTTTTAAGTACAGAGTGATAAATTGTATTTCCCCAGTAATGACTGTGACTTTCATTTTTATTATAAATTCTTGATGCTTCCCTTACAAGCATTTTGGGAGATTAATCCTCTGATTTAGAGAGCTGATCTAAATCAAAGCGAGAGTGACAGAGATAGCAGCTGAAGATTTTACAATCACCTTCCATTATTCCTTTCTCATAAGTCTCTAACATATTTTTGTTTTTTAGCAAAATCATCTCAGTAGCAGTTGGATTTAGGAGCTGGATCAAAATATACTGTTAATAATTTATATCCTGGTGATGGTTATCTTTTATTCCCTCTCCACTGAATTAAAACTTCACATATTTTTTCCCTTTGAGACTTATTTTAGGCATGATAATGCAGTGTGTGATCTTGCAAGTACAAGCAAGTCATACCAATATGTCATCTTTTCCTCTCTCCTTTTTTTGGTGTTTTGTTTTTTTTTTTTTGGCTGGCTGGCTGACACCTTTGTAAAATGCTTTTCATGCATTGGTTGAACTTGATTAGACGTTTGCTTGCAGAAGATTGAGTGGAAGCTAGGTCGACATTAGACATAGATGAAGGCCTGTTTTATCAGTTTATAGAAATACTTCCAAAACCAGACTAATGAATGAAACAGTTGATACGTCATACTATCGGTCTGTATGTGATTTAGATCAGAATAGTATTCTGTAGAAAATTCATATAAATTCTAGAGTTGACTGCTCTGGTTGACAAAACCACACGATATTACACTCTGATATGTTAAATTCACTTATGAAGTCTTAAGGATTAGCGAAAACTGTTTGGTGAACATGTGTAGTTTGATTTAGTTATACTATCTGAAAATTCGTTGATAATACTGACAATTATTTTCTCAGTGATAGCAATTACATCTTTAGTACACGAAGGAAGGTTTTCAGTGCTCTCACTGAACACTGACTAAGATCTAAAGGACAGTATCTTTATTTATCAACTCCCTGATATTTCTGAGCAACAGAATCCTCCAGTTTCAATGGAGGATTGAAGGAGTACACTCGAATGAGTGGCAGGTACTGTCTCAGCAGCAGGCTTTTGGAGATTGTATTTTAGAGGATTCTCGTGAGTATTTGGACAAGAACCAAGATCTGCATAAGCAGAAGGAGTGTTTGACTGAACTTACTAATTCTGAACACTTTGGTTTAGGGATTTTCTTTTTTTCATTCAGTACAGCAATAATTTTGCTGCATTTCCTGTTTGTTTCTCCTGAAATTTGCCTTGTTTAATGTCTAATTGTTCATTAAGCTTCTTGGTTCATGAGAACCAGTAGCAGTGCTTGGGTAACCTGTGGGACTCTAGTGGGAAATGGCATGCCCATGCCATATGCTGCTCTAAGTACAGTAAGCACCCTCAATCTCCAACTTACTTTCCGTGAACTGGCTGCGTAATTCAACAATAGAAAAAACATGCCTCATCTCTTAGAGTTTTCTTCGGAGTCCTCTCCTGAGGACCTGTCAGGAAAAGAAGTTGCCCATAATGACAGTGTCTCTACTAGCTATCTACAGGAAGAACTCATTACTGTGTTTTCATTTGTTAATCAAAAATACAGCATGCTTCTACAAAATGTACCTCAGCTCTGTATGGCATCACTGTGTAGGAAAATTCATCAGAATCTGGATTTTTCCAGCAATCATCAAGCAAGCCAAGCAGGAAAATTCTTGTGCTACTTGTCTGTAGTATGAACCCATCTCCAGTAGGATGAATTAACAGTTGCTTCCCACTCTCTTGCTTATTTCAAATAAACTTCCACATCATTCCTCGCCTTTGGATGCATACATCACACTTATCCAATCATAATCTAACAGAGATATCCCAGTATAGTAACTTACGACAATTCTCTTAATGTGCTTAGCCAGAAGGGTATGCACTTGGCAAAGGAATGGCCATGAATTCATACTAATTAACTAACTTCTGGTTTAATTTTTGTGCTGATGATTTCCTAGACATAAGGTCATGACTTGTTAGTGAGCATTGCAATGTCAGATCCATGCAAATTAGCCAACTTGATCACGATACAGAAATAAAATCACGTCACTAAGTATTTGATCCTACAAAATAAGTATGTTGTTTTTAAGTTTAAAGAATACTTTCTGAATTTGTTTTGGATATTATGTAAAACTGACTCCTCTACAGGGTAAAATTTTAGCTCAGAAGAAAATTAATGATAACTTTGCTGTTGCCTTCAATGGAATTGGATTCTACTCAAAGTATCACAATTATGCTTAACAGAAATTAATCCAACTGCTTACTTGATCTTTGGTTTTTGATGAAGAAGAGCTTTAGTCTCTCTTTAAATGTATTTTCATTCATATAGAATTCAACTTGCACCCTGAAATATAAAAGGAAGTATTAGAATTGAATATGAAAGATAAAACATGATTTTTTCAAAATAATTTGTTTCCCTAATCATCTGTTCTTTCTATATAACTGGAGGAACATATAGTGAGTGTTCAGCCAAAAGCTCACTTGGATTTGAATTATTAATGTTAAAAGATTAAAAATCAAAACAATAAACCTCGCAACAAACCAAAAAACCTACTTAGTTTATCCCCCTTACATGCAGAATCGGTTTCATACTACTTGGACACGCTACACTGCAAGATCAGGAGCATCTACGGTTTTGGTATTTTCATTGGCAGACTATTCTCCTATCTGCATCTTGGTAAGGAAGATTTCCTTGATGTTCAGGTTAAACCTTCCATCTCAGTTTAACTCTCTTCCTGCAAAATTGACATTTTAATGATTCTTCTTTTTTCTATCTTGTTCGTATCTCTGTGAAGCATTCACATCTCAGTTAAGCGTTCACTTGTTTGTGTTCACCTTTAACTAAATGCTCATGCACCAAACAAACCACCCTCTCGGAACTTCGCTTTTGTCACAATGAAATACTGAGACCAGAAAGCAAAATTATACTGTGATCATACAATATTGTACAGAAAGTAACTCCCCTTCCTGATTATATTAAAGCAACAGTAACATCTTTTTTTCCTCCCTTCCCCCCAAATTTGCCAGGATTTCATGTTTCTGTCCCTCAATTCAGTCCAAGTACAACTCATGCAATAGTTCTACAGACCAGAAGAGAGAAGAAAACTCTTGCAGGGGCTGGCAAGGGGAAAAGAAGGTGTGCATTAGTTGCATAGAAAAACTTAGGCCACTCCAGAGTTGTGGAGCTGTAGGCCGAGTGCAGCATTAGTTCCATATCCACTGAACTCCCTGCTCTACCCAACTGACTGGATCTCCCTCACCAATCCCAGTTCTCCTCCAGCAATGAATCACTTTACCCAGCACAATTTCTGTGCCTTCTTGAGAAGTCAGTTCTCAGTTTGAGAACTGTTCTACTATTGCTAAGGAATAAAGTGATATCACAAAAGTGAGTTACTACCTTACTTCTCACTTTCTCTGTATACCCTCATGTGTTGCAAAATCGCATATATCTTTTCTGTTCATAGGCATACTTGATCTTTATTTGGGCATTTCTTTTCAGCGGTCTTTCATCAAATGACTATATTTCAATTACTTGTTCTTATATGTACTGTCATGTTTTTCAAGCAGGATCCTGACTTTAGTTTTTCCCTTCTTGCAAGTAAAGCCTTTGCTGAAACAATTTTTGTATACTCTAATGTTATCTATAGTCTCTCTCTTTCCCTCAAATACTTGTCTAATACCCTATATTTCTGTACACTTAGGGAATTGGAAGATTACTTAGTTATGGGCCCAGAATGGATGCCATCTCAGGTAATGTGACTTTTTCATGCTTGTGTACTTATTACCAGAAGTTTAGGCATATCACTTTGTAGGACAAGGTCAGCACGTCATAAAAAGAATGCTCTCTATGACTCAGTGAGGTCAGTTAATTTTACATAGTCACTTAGCTTTGGTGTGATTTATCATAGTGTTCCTTGTAGAATGGAGAATTACACTGCTTCCTATTCAGAGGAAGCAAAAACATAACCTTATTTTTAAGAATCTATATTGGAACTAAGCTCTATAACTTAGAGAATTTTGAATTTATTTCTGTGCAATGACATGTTTGACACAGCCACTAACGGAAGTACAATTTAGATAGTTGGTAACATTAAGGCAAATTAAGGAAGCATGTCCAGGGGTTAATTAGTAGGTGAGCAGGTTTGTGGGGGCCTGAGCTCTGCTTCAGTTCTTTTCTGCACATTTCCCAAGGTACTTACTGTCATTAATGCAGTGACAGTTTTAGTGGGAAACATTTCCCTTGATTTGGCAGCTGCCACATGCCAAGTGTATATACTTAATCTTCAAGGCCATATTTCAGTAGGTAAACAAAGTGGCACAAGCTATTGAAGTAAGGGATGTTATTTAAAAGGAGCACAGTATTGGTGATCTTTTTTACACATTTTAAACTAATCTCAGATTTTTCAGTAAGAAGATTACAGTAGTCACTTATCATGAAAGAACAACATGTTAACAGTAACCATGATTTAATGGTAATGAGGAAAGAGGATGTGGGAGCTAATCACCCTCCTATCACTACCATTATGAATTGCTCTGATAGCCTTCTAACAGCTGTCTACTCTTTCCTTAGCAACCTGTGCTCACAGCAGACTGGGATTCCACAGTGCGGCAGTTTCCATGGCAAAATGGATTATGAATGCTGCTAACACCACTTCTGTGGCTCAACTCCTCCTTCTCCTTCCCCTGCCTTTTTTAAACTTAAGTAAACACTATATTGGCTTTCTACGTTTGCAGGAAATACATTATCATGCAGCTATAATCAATGTGCACTTTCACGATACTCTGGCTACCAGACAGAGAATATTTCACTTTATTTCTTAAAGGTTACTATTTATTAAGTAAAGCTAAGAATGAATGGCTGAAGGAGCCACTGGCAGGGATAAGGACAGAAACCTCCAGATACTGTTCCTTCCCAATAGTCTGCTTTTTATTTTCAGGGAGAACACTCATTCTACTTGATCCTTTGTTGTAATCTTTTAATGATTAAAATTCTACCTCAAGTATTTGCTCTTTTCTGTCTTTTTCCCACTATGAAGTGTAACGTAGAAAAGGAGTATTTCGGGAATGTAACACAAATAAATTCTGATCCTCGCTTGCAATATTAAGATCATTTAGTAGTAGTAGTAGTAGTAAAAGGCTTGAACAAGCTTTTTCTGGACTTAATTAAGTACAAGTTAGTAAGGATGTTTCAAGTGAGTGAGTGAAATTCATTGCCACATACTTATATAAAACTTGATTATTCTGTTGCAGGATGAATTCTTGTTGGTATTTGATTCCAAACAAATGGTTCTGATGAAATGGCACACATGCAGTACAGGGTGACAAGTATATGTGTACGCACATCATCTGGCCTATGGAATAGGTTTGATTTTGTTCTATATTTCTAGTGTAAGTAATTTAAAAGTGTAGTTTAAACAATTTGTGCTTCATGTTTTTTATCTTCCTGTAAAAGACAGCTGTAGTTCAGGTGTTTTGTAGTTGTTTCGTAGACCAAAAGGAAATCAGACTGAAGGATTAAAACGCTGTACCTTGAGGATGGTTACTGGGACAGAAATGACGAACATAAGGATTTTGTGTATGCAGTCAGTTAATTGCTTCTGACTTTTTCTGTGTATGTGGTAGGCATTGAAATTCATTCCATGAAAAGCTGCTTTTGGAAGTTAAAGAACAGGTCTTATGCTTTACTGACCCTTGTTTCAGCTTTATTGAAAATGCACAAATATGTGGCTGATATACCTGTGGCAAAAACAACTGAAGTTACATGATTCTCTTGAAAACACAGTGTGGTTTTTTTAACCTTTTTAAAATTAAATACTGTTAATACTGGTCTTCCCTGGTTTAAGCCCAAAGAATAATGATGTCAGTGGAATCTTCCAAACTGCAAGAAGCATCTTGAAGTACCCAAAGTACGAGTATACATTGCACTCTTCTAACTCAGTCAAGATGTAATTTGAGTAGTACATTTTAATGTAATACAAAGTATAGCAGGAAAATACTAATTCATGCCAAGGACACTAATGCAAAGCACTTCTCATGTAAATCACTGGGACCAATCTGTCTGCACTCTGGTTACTTAATTAATTTTGTCTGCATTTTTCCATTGCTATTTACGATGTCATTCTAACTCCATAGCCACGCTTTACTATAGTAACAATATTACTTTGCACCCTCAAATCTACAAATTGGCTTTCTTTTGTATTAGAAAATAGCAGATTTGGCAGAAAGAAACCCTTCAAAAATGAAAGTATGAGTTGGATTTCTCACTACGTGTGTGCTAAGAGCTGTAAATGTTTATGCATACTACTTCTTGACATTGGAATCAAGAAAAGGTGTTAACTGTGCAAATCGAGCCAATCTGAAGAAAACGACATCAATTTATTTAAAAACATCTTTATGGGAAGAGCCTTGTAACATAGACACAATATGCTTTTTACTGGGATTTTCCAATCCAATATATGTGAAATCCCATTAGATTTCAAACCTGAGAGTTTATTATGTAGGGTGTAGATGGGTACTTAAAAATTAAGCATTTGAAGTTGTTACTGTCAGCTTATTTTACTGCAAAAAAAAACAGAGCTTATTTTACTGCAAAAAAAAAGGAAATGGGCATTTTTTTCTTATAGCTTCTAATAAAAAATTAGTCTATTTTAATGATGACTGTCTTGGGTAGCAGCTCTCTTGTTTCTGAAGTTTTGCAAGTTCTGAAATACTCAGAACTCCGATTTGTTTAGGGCTTCACTGAGAAATGGTAATTTGACTTTCCAGGACTATTTGTTCCATCAGAATCAATATAGAATCATAGAATAGTTTGGGTTGGAAGGGACCTCTCAAGGTCATCTAGTCCAACCCCCCTGCCGTGGGCAGGGACATCTTCAACTAGATCAGGTTGCCAACCTGGCCTTTCCAAGGATGGGGCATCCACCACCTCTCTGGGCAACCTGTACCAGTGTTTCACCACCCTCAGCGTAAAAAATTTCTTCCTTCTATCTAGTCTAAATCCCCCCCCTTTAGTTGGAAGCCATCCCCCCTTGTCCTGCCGCAACAGGCCCTACTAAAAAGTCTGCCGCCATCTTTTTTATAAGCCCCTTTAAGTACTGATAGGCTGCAAGAAGGTCTCCCCGAAGCCTTCTCTTCTCTAGGCTGACCAACCCCAACTCTCTCAGCCTGTCTTCACAGGAGAGGTGTTCCATCCCCCTGATCATTTTTGTGACCTTCCTCTGGACCCGCTCCAACAGGTCCATGTCTTGCTTGTTGAATGATACCTCATCATCTTGTGCTGATGGAAACGGCGGTAAGACCAGTACTTTTCTATTACTGGTTCTTAACTTGGGGAAGCCTTCTGTT